ATATATATATATATATATATATATATATATATATATATATATATATAATTATATAAGCAGACAGGGTTGAAATGGCACATTCGAATATTCTAAATAAAATATTTTTGATACTAAGCTATTGACACTGTAATCACGTGCATGACGTGTAGCGATGAGTAGTAGTTAATATTGTAGGTAAAACACGTAACGTTTACGAGTCATCGTTCATAAACAATGGATGGACAAGGTCGAGAATTATCGATTTGTCCTGTAAGGTGTACGTGTATTATGAGGTGGAATTTGATTAGACATTGATTTGTTAGATATAAATAAGGACTATGAAAATGTTACCAAACGATACCGAAAATTTATTCTTATATTACCTTATTGCCTTTACCTTTAAGTTACCCGTCTTTATACGGTATTTTTGCTCTCGTTGCGGTAAGGATGATGTTACTATACCAACATGTCCTAATTGTTCAAAAAACAAGTAAAGAATACCCCTAGGTTCGGTGGGCGTGTTGCTGACCAAAATCCCGGACATACAGTGTTTAGTGATTACTAATAAGTTTTCTTATAAAGAGGAAGAAGAAACATAAATTTTTAATAGACAATTTTGAGAAACATTATATTGTCTGTTTTTATGAGAAATCTGAAGTATAAAAGTAGATACGATTATTGTTTTACGATATGAATACGATAAGTTTAGGTTTTACCTATTTAATATAATAAATATACTTAATTCGTGTGTGTTTTGTTGAATGTTATCTTGAATTTTTTCTGCATATCACTGACAGAAGTGCATATTTATGCGCAAATACTTTACGTTTGAATATGCATATTTGCCTAAGCCTGATAATAAGCCAAGCTTTATATGATATAATTGTATCTATTACAAATACACTTACATAACTGTACAAGGCTTGTTTTGGCTATTTGCTAGGGCAGTACCGGTAACAAGTTTAAGGCATGACCAACTCATGACAATTTTGAAACAAAAGCAAATACATACTACTACGAAAAATGTAAAGGATGATGTCGAGATTTGGAATTATTTCTTGGATGGTACAATAATTGGTATCATTTTGGAAAATACATAGCCTCCATTCAAGAAAACTATTTGCGAGAGTGAAATGCTAATGTCGCTGATGAAATGAAAATCAGTGTTTTTATAGGACTCTTGTATTTATCTGAGCTAGGTCACTGTAATCGTGCCAGCGCAGAAGATCTTTGGAGGAGAGACGGTTATGGTATAGAAAGTTTGTTTATGGTATACTCAAACATGGAAGTTTACGTGGGATCCCGACACGATAGCCCAATCGGACAGAATTAAAATATGTCTATTGCAGGTGTTTTTAACATATTTTAGAGCTTCAAGTATAGCTATTGATTCCGCTGAGAAGATTGAAAATTCATTTGGTAGTTTACACTTGAATTCTACGTTTGTAGCAGGTAAAAAGTATGCGCATCCAGTCCCTTCTGTTGTTTTTGATATGTCCGTGATGTGACGTGTCATGTGGCTTCTCTGTAACCTTGCAGTAGAGATCTTAGAAGATTGCTACTCAAAGGCGTTCTCACTATAAATGGGTATTATAACCTCAGTTCTGTGAAATAAAGAGAAGTAGTCTAAGCTTCTGTCAACCGTGTGCAATTTCTTGAAAAAAATAGGATTATTCTGTAATGCCATGCATAAAGGCGGGGAAGGTTTTTTCTCCCAATATTTGTTTGTAAGATCTGCTTCGTTAAGTTGACGGACGCTTGAAAATAACTAGGAGTTAGTTAATATAATTTTAAAAAGGCTTTTTTCACTTAAAAATTTCTTCTGTTTTCAAGGGGTAGCTCAGCGGCTTCAACATATAAGGGTTGTATGGGGGTTGATCTCATAGCACCCAAACATACCCTCATAATAGAATTTTTAGAAACGTGTCAATTTTTCTTAAAAGGTTCTTGGAGGCGGAACCATAAAGAGTAGCACCATAATCTAGAATAGATCGTATATAAGCGCGATAAAACAACAAGGATGTTTCTACGTCGCAACCCCACCACGTTTTAGTTGTCATACTGAGGAAATTGCTGCCTTTGTTACATCTATCAAGCATGTACTCTATGTGTTGTCTCCAAGTTAACTTCTTATCAATAAGCTATTTGACTAATTTGAAGCTTAAAACATCGATCGTTCAGAATGATATTTTCATTTGTAGAAATGTTATGTCTTGTGAAGATAGATACTACTGATTTTTCTATAGATAAATTGAGACCATTCTCTAAGAATAAAACATATGTTTTGTTTTCTGTATATGCAGAAATCGTCGGCATACTGTACGATTTTGAATGAACTGTTATTTATTTGGATGTTATGTACGTCAGAGCTGTATATATTGAATAAGATTGGAGATAAAACTGAGCCTTGTGGTATACCTTGATAATTATATCGAGGTCCAATTAGCTTGTTATTATGATCTCTTACATACATGATCCTCTTTGTGTAAAATCCAATTATTGTATCCACGAATGCGATTGGCATATGAAATAAATTAACCATTTAAAACAGAAGTTAACATTATTATAAAGTATTTTAACTACAGTTTTTTAGTTTACAAAAATAAAGTCGGCTTTATTGCAAAAAATCTGCATCACTCACGGTTTTGCAGGAACAAAAGCAGCAATGTCACCTAAAACAGACAAAAATCAGATTTTTTACTTTTGAAGTAAAAGAAAATTAATTTTAAACTTACTGTTAGAGATGAGCCAAGTTCTGGAAAAATGTCACTGCTTTTGGATTGCAAAACCGCGTAAAAATCATTAGGTCGTTAAGCTTACCCTTTGAAAGGACCTGTAGCAAAAATTTAAAACAAAGTTTCTTATAACTTACCATCGTATACCGGAACAGGCAGCAAAAATTCTCCACATCTTAAAGCTGAGTTTTGGTCAAAGCGTTTTCGTATTAATCCAGATAGTACTGGTTCAATGTACGTTGACCGGTAGTAGGTAAGGCGGCTATGATCAGATCATGCCACTATTTCCTTCAAACTCTTGAGTTTTAAATGGGAATTTTTGTAAATATATTGTGTCTAAAAATGATTTCCAATCCAGTACCATGTTTTGTGACACTCACTATAATAAACGGCGATGGTCCTGAGGGTTTGGGGGTTAACACATCCCCCGGACCCTATATTCCCATACTGTTACTCATAAATTTTAAGGACTCAAAATGGGGTAGGTATTAAAAAAGATTTCGGTGCCCAACCAAACCCCCCAGGAGGAAAATTCTAGGTGCGCTACTGCCTCTTACAGGAAATGTGATATTTATTTATTTCAGATTATGAATTTTGTAGTTTAGTACAAAATGAATAAATCGAAAAATAGTAAAGTTTTTATTTTGTCCTCCGACAGTCACAGAAAATTTGCAGTTCTTCAACATGGTCTTGTAATTATTGATAAAATGGAGAAGAAAATATGCAACTTCGTTTGATCCTTATTTAGCAATTCCTTCATGATAGGTATAAAAAATAAACTGACCAGAAGAGAGAACATGTACAATAAAGCCATACATAGACAATTGGTCTGTCTAACCATACAACACATCGTTAGCGGCAATTTTCGGAATTGAAACAACATTTGTCTAAGTTCATCAGTATCAGTGAAACTTTTAATCTTAATTTGAAATTCATCACATGTTGCGCATGTGTCACTTCTGGGGTATCCAAAAGCAATATTAAATTCCTTATTAAAAATTGTTCTGTACATTTTATATGAGACTTTAGCATTTAGATGCTTTTCCTTAAAGGGGTTAAATATTTTTTTGATGTGGCACATATCAAACCTTTTAAGTCGTCCATTTTCTATGTATTGTACTACCCGTTCCACGTCTGTCCTTAGGTGCTGCACCACTTCGTTTGAGGCTTTCCTTTATATATTTATTTAATTTTTTATCCCATGAATGGAACAAAAAGCTTTGGCACACACCAGAATATCACAATCGCGAACTCAAACATATATATGCATAATTTGCATCATGGAAACTGGCAGTATTCTCGTTTTTACCAGGCCTTCTACGCTGGACTGTTATGACCGTAATTAAACCAGCCAAATAATAATTTTGCTCATTGTAGAAGCACAGAGCATTCAAATTTTTTAATATTTTTTTCCCGCCTCATTAAGTACCTCAAGCATTCAATCTTAAGCAGTTAAAAGTCATGAGTCAATAACTTCAACATTTTAGAAACCTCTGACATTTGGCCAGTACTCTTCCTTTTTTTTGAACGCATAATTTTGTTCTCAATGGACCCCTCTGAATCACTATTAGCCATAATAGTTTATTAATAATCACACAAACAAATAAGAACTTTTGCGGCTACAATAATACTGGCACATTTCTTAGGAATGAATATTGCATCAGCCAGTTTGTTTACATGACATCACTGGTTTTTTCGCCTGGATGTTTGAACTAAGCTGCCTGTGGACATATATTTTAGACATGGTTTTATGCCATACTACAGTAGTTTTTTCCCAGTTTTAGTACTCTAAAATATAGGTTGTCATTTTAAGCATTTAATAGCACCTCTACAGAGATTTTCAGTAAAAAGTGACTATCTGCTTTTTTCTCTGTAAACTTCATATACTTATGCCTTTTCTTGAATCCTAAAATTTTGGAATTTACTAAATAGGTTCCTTTGGTCAAAGGAAGAAACCTACTGAATTTTGAGCAATAGAATAAGAAGGGGCAGTCTCCTTCCTCTTCTTATTTTATGCTTTTTTTTCTAGAAAGAAAAGTCAATGTATAGATGACAACACTCATTGAATTTGGGGCAATTGAATTTCCTCCATCTCATAATTTCTTTTCCTTGAGCAAAAAGTTTATTTTCAAGTAAACTATTTACTTCCATTACAGCCCAGAACCCTTTTATCCTTAATTACAGTAGGTTATTATATATTTCATTGTATTGATTTTTAAGATATGTGTTTGTATCTCTTTGATAACTTATCACAGTTCACCTAGTTCTAAATAAAAACGACACAAATATTACAAAACCCAAACTTTATTTAAATAAATACATCACTTACAATATAAGGATTAATAAAAAATATACACACATAATAAACAACATTTATTGGAGTTCTAGTGATGATTATTTATTGACAGATATTATATGATCACAATGTAATCCATCCCTTCATCACATTCGCTCACTTGCAACCTTCTTCCTCATTCTGTTCAGTCTCTACGTTTTTTGCGTGACTCCTGCTCCTGAAACAAAGAAAGCAAACTGTGAATAACGTTAAAACCACTATTATAACAAACTTTTTGTATATATGTGCATATATTTAACGTTCAACTATGAAAAATGCAAAGTAAGTTATATTAACCATATGAGGTTGCTACATCATTCACTTACAATAACAAAGTTCTAACTGCACCTTTTCTCAAATTGTAAATTTTAGCCTAATAAGGTTCAAGTGTTCTTTTTTATTGAATGTAATAAAATGTACCACCATCTAACCATGGGAAGATGTTAAAAAAATCGCAGAGTTCTATCTGCAGAATATTTTTAGTCAATTTAATTTAACATGGTTATATCTACATACGCTTAGGACTTTGTAATTCCCAAACAGCAGTTACACCGTTGTTATAGTATTAATGAAATGATTTCTGCTTCTATTATAACCTTAAAAGTGAGTGCATGTGTAAATATAAAATTGGGTGCCAATTATTCAAACTACCATGAATAGAAAAGCTTTAATATTAAAAATGGGTAAGTACCTATCAGATACCTAAAATTATGATTAATATTTTAAGAATATTAGTTCCATTAAGTAGTGTTATTACTTTTAGCTCGTGAGATATGTGATGAAGTTCTGCTTGCTGACAATAACACTATATCTGAAACGCCGCAAAACACAAGTGATAATATTATTATTAGGGAAAATAGTACCCCTTTACAGGCAATAGAAAATGTGATAGAAAACGCGGAAATAATTATCGACTCTGGCGATGCTTCAGTTAGGTCTACAACCATTCCTTCCCAAGCATCAGATTACATGATAATGGAGTCTGCAAAAATCACGACAATGACCATTTAGAAGAAATAGTTTAAGAAATCGAAATGGGAACAAAATAAAAATAATCTAAAAAATATTTTTTTAGGCTAGTGGGTTAGAAATTAACGAGACTTTAAAGATAGACAAAGAGAAAGAAAGTGAAGTACTTACGAAAGAGAATTTGGAATCCAAAAATGTAAATAAGTAAAAAAGGTTGAGAAAACACTTGTGAGAAAGAAATTATCCAAACCAGAATCTTGTAAAAACAATTTACGAAAAAAGCTTTGTCAGGCAGGTAAAGAATATATGTTCAAGAGGAAAGCAGATTAGCGCAAAAATGGTAGTAAATAAAAAAAGATTGCCTTAATACATGCAAATTCCAATGCACCAAAAAAATTGGTAAAAATGTCTGAAAAAGATTGTTTAATTATTATTATGAATTAAATCAAAATAAAAAGTATGTGTTTCTTAATCAAGTAACTGAAAAATATATTAAAGGCACAAAACCACAAAAGTTGCTTCTTGTCAACTTCTAGTCAAAAGCCAGTATACACTGTACATTCTGTTGATCCTGAAGTTCCAAAAAAAGAAGGGGAAAAACTGGTACTAGAAAAATTAGTAATGAGAAAAAGCAGGTAGTTATCAATCATATTAATAAATTTAATGTAGTTGAATCTTATTACTGTAGGCACAATAGCCAGAAAAAATATTTGGAAGCAGCTTTAAAAATTTGAAAAATGTACAATTTATATCTTAATTACTGTGCTGAAAATATCATAGAAACAGTTAAACTCTCAATGTACAGGTATATATTTAAAAAAAAACCACTAGGAAACTAAGTTCCTGTAGCTAGCTGTATACCATATATCACAAAAAATTTATTTCAAATGCTTTATAAAAGGTATATAATAAAATGCCCCAATTACATTACAAAATGTTTTCGGATTGTTAAATTCATCATCAGTGTAAACGAGGTATACATGCTAAGAGCCACCAAAATATATGGGTCAAAACGCTTTAAATGTTATAATCTTAGTCATCTTAGAGAACTTGATGACTGCCGGAGTGACAGCTGCATCCCCCAAAACCAAAACTCCCACATTTCTTTTTGTGTTACAGATGTACTTAAAAATCATCCAGACCTGGAGGTTTTAACAATGAAGAATTCCAATCCAGTGCTGTACAGGACGTAGACAATATTCATAGCCAAATTGAAAGGCACATATCTAAAACAGAATTTTTCTCACCTCTTGGCTTTTTAAGGGAACTGAAATAAATTAACAAAAAAAACCCCTTTCAAATAATTCAAATGAAAGAGTCAGATTGTAGGGATTATGAAGAGTGTTCAAAACAACTAAAATTTGAAAACATTCCATTTACCAAAGTATGTTATCTGAGAGTTTCAAAACATGACTTAACCAAGGTGTGTTTAAAAAAAAAAAAAAAAAAAGTCCACTGATGATGAATTTACTAAAATGTCAATAAGGCTGGCTAATCCAGTACTCCCACGCTGCAGCAAAAAAACTGGAGAAGTGAAATTTCCACCTAATCTTGTACCTAAAATTCTTCTTGCAAAAAAAGAAATTTCAAAGGAAAAATCAGTGCCATAAAGAAAATGATGCTGTCCATGCCACAAAATGACCAAGACCATAACAAAGCTTTCTTAAATTTAGAATAATATTTAATTTATTTACTTATAGTTAGGTCTATTAAGGTTTTATATTAAAAATATTTGTTTTGATTTCAGAAAACCAATAAAATCTTTGAAAAATGTTCACTTAGAACATGGTTTTAATTTCATGAATATGATGTGAAAATCATCTTAATCTAACAAAGTTGTACCTGGCAGTTAAAACCATGTTGGATTAAATATTTATGAAAATGTAATTTTACAAGGTTCTACGTTCATTTATGACTTGCCAGTTCTAGATTTAGTTCTTCTATCTCTAATACTTGTGAATTAAATTTACTAGAAGAATACTTTAGAAGAATAAAACTTATTCCACATTGATATTAATAATTTTACAGTTCATAATTAGTTATACAAACTTTAGCCTTTGTTTTCTCAAAATGGTTGACTGTCCAGATACAACTTTATTATTTTAAGGGGACAACATATTACTACAGATGTTTGTCACATTCCTAGATGATTAAAATGTTAAATGTTTTACTTTATCAAATAAATATAACCATTGTTTGAATGAAAAATTAATTACAATATATGTTTTGAAATATTTTATCAGTCATATATTTTTTAAATGTTATCTATAGAAATTTATTTATTTATTATATTTAATTCTTTATAAACACACTTTACAGATAGTAAAATGCTTTAATCAATATTCATCATACTAAAAACAAGTTCTTAAAGTAATCTTTGTAGATATTTTTCTTTTATATGTTAACAACATTAGTTGGCACATTTTTATTACATTCTACATGTTATGATTTACATTCTACATTACATTATGTTATGATTTTTTTTATTATCCTTGTTGACCTGGGAGGGTAATACATATTTAAATGTGTTCAAATTCCATTCTGACACAGTATACAATGTCAGATACTAATTTATATTGAATGAGTGAGATTGTCTAGTAGTCAGCTAGCCTTTATTACTAATGTATGAAAATGTAACTGATAAAAAATGTATAATCACTAAATTTTTAACAAAAAAATGTTTTAAATCAAATTAACAATGTGTGACTTGAATAGTGGGAGTAACTCATGCATATCTAATGTATAGTCTCAACATTGATTAAAATATTGCTTCCTTATTCTGCAATGAATTTGGACTATATTGAAAATAAAATATCTATATTGACTTACCCTTTGTGTTAAGATTATTAGCAGTCTTCTGAAGATTCCAATGAAATCAACAAACAAATCCAATGAATGAGCTACAAAATCTCTACTTCCCAATCTACGTTTCTCTATAATCATTTGGGTATCATAAAGCACAAATCCACACATTGCCAACAATCCCAAATACAGCTGGGTCTGATAGATCCACATGGCTCCAAAGAAGATATTTGCGAGTGAAAGAACCATCAATGTAGTCAACATAGTCATCAATGTACCTCCCAAATATAACCACCTTCCTCTCTCAGACAACATAGATGCTGCTGAGAAGGATACGAATACTGTTGAGGTAGCTACAAAAGCTGTTATGATAATACTGGGCTCTACCAAGATAACATGTTCTAGAAGAGGTCCTAAGCCAACTCCTGTGAGAAAAGTGAACCCAAGGAGGTATCCTACTCTGGTTGTCATTGATTTTCCATTGTCATCAGGTGTGTTCATTAAAAGAAAGAAGAATACCAAAGCTCCTATTGCTGATAGAAATCCTGCCTGCATGATGTTGGTGAAGAGATGGACTGCTGCACCCAGGGCAGCAGACATTGTGGACATGGCCAAACATGCATATACATTTTTAAGATGTTGTCTCACTGGTTGTTCTCTAAAAAATATAAAATAGACATAATCAAAATCTAAAGTCTTTGATGTTCATTAACTGCAAATTCTTTTTAAAATACTCATAGGAACTTTCTCCAGGAAAATACTGTTTTTGTTGTCAACCTTTAATCTGTCAAGAGTTAAAGGTATTTACAATATTTGATATGAATCTAAAAATAGCTATTTGTCTAAAATGACATAGCGATTCTGGCCACTTTTAATAAATTTCTCTCGTTAGGGTAATCTTATAGTTGCTTTAAAATTGTAAATACATACAAAATAAGCCTTTGAATAACATAATTTACAAATTCAGTACTTACAGTTTTGCATTAAACGAATTTAGAAATGCGTTTGGACTGAAACGGACATATTCTGTCGCCATAATGAAAATGATATATCACTTGTTCGATTTTCAACTGTTTCAACGATTCACAATGCTGTTATTCTAATTTATTTTACTTCACTTCACTATTAATACAATGTTTCACCTTCTACTTGAAATTATAACTGCGAATTGATCGAAGTTAATAATGCTAGATAAACAACCAAAGATATATGAACACGTCATTCAACAATAAATTTCTAGATTTCTCTAGTTTGCCCGTCGTTGTCTTTCGCTATTGGTTAATAAATGTCACGTGATAACAGGTGTTTCTCTTGAACTTTAATTGGGTATTTTTCCTACAAAATTTCAAATTTCTTGAATTGAATATTAAATATATTAAATAATTTTAAATTATGAAATCATTAAATATAAACTTAAATTGCAATTAAAACTCCTTTTAAATATAAATGATATAAGAATGGCCTTCAGGAATAACCATCGAGTTAGAATCTCGAACTCGATGGGAATAACTAAGTTAGATAATCAGAAATACGAACAGGTGGAATGATGGTTGCCTACAATAAAGTATTTATAAAGAAAATGATTTGCACACTTCTTGATTTCCAAAACTTTCTCTTAATTATGAAATATTTTAGGTCTAACTTTCTCTATTGCATTTCAATGTCAAATTTTAATTTTGTGATTTATTGTTTAAAAAACAATATAGTTGATTAAAAAATGTATTCAGTTGAGCAAACTAGCAATAATAAAAATGTTTTATTCAGGCAATAGTGCGCGAATTGTCAGTTCTTTATTTAGCGTAAGATATTACAATAGACCAATTCAAAGTTATTCAACAATTCAAAGGATTTTACAAAATTTTGAAAATAATGGGACCGTGATTTCTAATTGTACCTGTACAAACAATATTGCTGAGGTACCAAAAAATTTAGAAAAACAAAATGAAATAAATGTATTAACAGCAGTTGTAGAATAAGTTCTCGGACCATTGCCGACCAGTTTAATATTCATAATTGTACGGCCGTTCATATGAACTGAATACATTTCATCAATTTTATTGCTTTGTAAACAGCACTACACTAGTAATAGTAGTATTTGTAAAAAATTGCATATTTTATTATTTGCGTATAATTTAAACACAAATAAAAATATGGACAATTCAAATATTGTCAAATATCAGAATTACTAATATGACCAAACGCAACATGTCATACGCATTATTGTACCTTGTGTGGCCTGACTTTAAGGGGTGGCCTGAAAAATGTATTATATTTTTACAAAATTTTGGAATACATTTAATTCGTAGAACAATTTTACCATTTGTTTTTAATACATATTTCAGTCCTCTACAAATAGTTTTTTATGACTTTTGATGTAAAATAATTAGGGAAGCAGGAATTCAACAATTTAGAATTTCCCATTGAATTTTCTATGGCCCGTTTGGCGATTCACCAACGCCAAACTTATATGGGTCTTGTATTTTCAAAAAATCTATTGTTTTCGAACGAAGGAATTTTCGATCGATCAACTCGTTTTTGCTTTATACAAACAAAAATGTTTTAAAAACAATGAGAATCGGAAAATGCTAAAAAATATCAGACGAAAATGTATTCAAACTTATTTAAAAACTTTGAACTTCATTTGTTTTTCAATCCCTACGTTCAAATTTGATGGGAATACTCTTAAAATTACTATATATAATGTGTTGTTGGTTGCATAACAAATTTTAACGGTCTGATTTTTTGCAGTGTTGCCATGTCCTTATAATGTATGTGTTGTGTGCTTAAAATATAAATACAGAAAGTTTTTAAATTTTAAAAAGTACATTTTAAACACGAATAATTAATTATTTGTTTCTTCCGATATTAATTGCAGCTAATTATTAGTATTTTTGGCATTTCCCCTGATACATAAGCGGATAGATGTGGCAATAAAATGTTTACTGTTTACAGTGTTTACGGTACAGCACCACAAAATAAACAACCTAACTTGCCGTTACCGCTTTCCCATTCCCGCTTTTCCTAAATTCCTAACCTAACCTCATGTTATTTGCACTTTTGCAGTTTGCAATTGCAGTTGCAGCGTCTTGGGTCTTTTAGTTTGTTTGAGTTTATATATATTTTGCTTGTTAATTTGATTTTTACTATTGGCTTAACTATATACTTAATTATTTATAACAATGGCTGTATCTATAATATCTATTGTAAAACCTGAAACGCTCATGAATGCTGCACAAATGCGGGAAGAAAAGATAAATTTATTGAAACTATGTTTCAAAAGTGCTTTTGAATCTTTAGCGTGGTGTGCCACGCGCCATTTAATAAAAAATACTGTTTTGTGCGACCTGTGCCATATAAACAAGAACTTATTAAAACGTAGTAACCGCATCGATGAGCATTTTTGGCATTGTAAAAAATGTGGTCACACCAATTCCGTACGTGAAGGATCAATCTTCGTGCGAACTAAGAAGTCGATGTCGCAGATACTCATCATCATTTATGGTACACCCATGACTTCTCACTAAAACAATGCCAGATAGAATCCTCTCTCAGCGATGGAACTGTTGTGGAATGGTTCAGTTTTTGTAGAGAAATTTGCACCAAACATTTGCAGCAGCATCCTGCGGAAATCGGAGGGTTTGATGAGAATGGTGAACCCACCATTGTGGAGATAGATTTACACAGGAAGTACTGTCGAGGTGGTGATGACGAACAATGGCTTTTTGGAGGTGTAGAAAGAAACCGTGGGAAGTTATTTTTAACACCAGTAGTTGGGAGAAGTGGAGAAACACTTTTGCCTATCATATCCAGGTATGTTAATTTTACAAATATGTATGGTGGAATATTAGTCAATAAAGTAATTTCCTTTTTAGAATGATTTTACCAGGATCAATAATTATTTCCGATGGCTGGAGAGGGTATGCTAATATCAGTCACCTTGGGGGTGGGGTGTATGAACACAGGGTTGTTGTTCATCAGGGAAACTTTCTTGATCGGAATGATGCCAGTGTTCATACACAGAGCATTCGAAGTGTCTGGATGCGTGCAAAAAAGAAGCTCCAGACTTCAGGAAAACAAACTTCTAAGTTTGATACATATCTTAATGAGTTTCTGTGGAGGGAACTTAACAAAAAGTGTAATCCATTCATAGAATTTTTAATTTGCATAGCAGAGCAATATGTAGTGTAAGGTCAGTATTATTTTTGCAATTAAGTTTATTTCTTTAATTAACCCTCTAACTGTTATAGCAGTATGTTGACAGTGTTCACTTTTGTCTAGTTAAAGCCATAATGGTCACAAGAAGTTATAGTTATTTTTTACCTTTTCTTTTCTCGATAAATCTTTTTCTTCCAAATGTTATACATACTTGTATTCCAATATTTCCTTAGCTTCTCCTATGGCATTTTCATATGCATCACACAACTCACAGCAATCTTTTCTGGGTATAAAGAAACTATTGTTAAACTCTTGTGTTAAACATTTTTGAGAACATCACTAAATTTGTAAATTAATTACTATTAAACTGGGAATAAGCCACAATTAAATAAACCACAATTCTTTAATTGTGGCTTATTCCCAGTTTAATAGTAATTAATTTACAATGCCACAAGAAAATAGCTTCAGAACAATACTAAATTTGTGTGTGGTATATTGTTTTCCTGGCAATTTTTGTTTATAGTCATTAAATATATCAGTTAAATTTTCTCTACCTTCAATGTATTCCCTAAAGGTGTACTTGCGAAGATAGTGACTCTCAATATGAGGAATCAATCAAATGTGCTCATGAACTCCATCTTTAATCAATGGATACACTTTTTATGGTTTTTGTGTTTACCTCTTAAGTCTACTTCCAGGAACCCTCTTTTTAGCCTCATGCCCAACCCCCTTTTCGAAGGACCTTTCTCTCTTCCTTGTCAGCCCTGACCTCACCTTCCACTGGGGTTGGTTACCCAGTCTCCAGTAGGGTTGCTCAGGTTTACCGGGGTTCACCTGTGTGATCCAGATCACACTTCTAGGAGGTGAGGATAGGAATTGAGTAGGAGAGGCTAGAGGTGTTACCTGGAAGCAACACCTTATGATGCGCATCACTACTCCATTTAAACCCCACCACTACTCCATATTGAACCAATAACAATAAATCCAGATGAAGAAAGCAGTACATGTCATGTATATCTTAGTTAATTAATATTTTATTTTAACACAAGTTTCTTCAAGGGAATGTTAAATTTTACTCATAGTTAAACTTGAAGAAATTCTTACGTTTTTAGTTTCAAGAAGTAAATATTTTTGACCCTGTTTGGCTTTCACATGCTGTTGACCATTGGGAATTTGTATTATGAATGAACTGTATTAGTGATAATCTGCAGGTTCTTAGTATACTTTGTTTTTAGGATATCCCACACATCCATGGCTTTTGATACCTTTAATCCAGGAGAACAACTGTTGTTGAGCGACAATGACAGGTTATATTCTATCCAATCTTTGTTTGAACTATGTAATAGAGTATGGCATGTATGCTGCTGATAATATTGTTAATAGAGGACCAACAGCCAACCCAGATGTAGCAGCTGCCAGATGCTTACAAAAGAATATAATAATTACTCATTTTAATAATATATAAAAATATGTTAGCTATCCTAACTTGTTGAATTTGAAGTATTTTTGAAGACTCAGATATTATTGTGTAGGCCTGCCTGATACCTTTATATACTTTGTATATTAAGATATATGGTGGGGAACCTTAACGAGGCCTTAAACATCTCCAATAAGTCTATGTTCTATACTAGAATATTGACCTATTGCCTCCTGGGTGGGCCATGGAAAGAGATGTACATTTATTATATTTCTCATTGTACTATAGAATAATAAATATTGTTAATGACTGATTCTTTTATTTAAACTATCCTTTTTTATCAGACTAACTTTGAGAACAAAAAAATACATGTGGGGACTTGGACCTTGCCTGATGGATTAACGAACAACCAAATTGATCATGTGATCATAGATGCTAGACACTTCTCCAACCTTATGGATCTCTCCACCTGTCGAGGCGCCAATATTGATTCAGATCATTTACTAGTTGGTACAAGAATTTGGGCTAGAATCTTGGGCTTAGAATGGTAGAAAGGTTTCAAAACTATATCGAAACTAAATACATAACTAAAGAGAATCTAACAATTAGTGAACAATGGGAAATGTTTAAAAAATATTTAAAGCTGCAACAAATAATATTCTAGGGCAGAAAAGACCACCAC